CTGTCTGGAAGATAGGTTAAGAATTGTGTTCTAGAAGGAAGGCAAATTAATACCTTATGCTTGAATAAATAAAAAATAGAATTTTGAGTAAACATGACATTAGATAGTAATAACCCAAGCACTCTATTTTCCAGCTTTGGAGGAATTACACAAATGGTACAAAGAAATGCAAAGTACTTGAACCAACTGATTGAACGCACAGAGGTCTGGTCCCTAGAATAGGTCAAGAGTGACATTTATAAAAGCAGCTGAAATGGTCATTCTTAGCGGCATCAGTTTGCTTCAATCTGGAGCTAACGAAGCTGAACGTGGTGTCTGAAACTAAATGAAAAAACAGGAGGGAATGAACAAACCCTAAACCCACATTAGAATTTCTTAATTTAATACTTCATAGATTCCTAAGAATCTTCAATTTGTAATATTCTGGATTCTGAATCCAAAGCCCCAGTGATTTAGATAATATGCTAGTGAAGGAGACTAAATGAGAGAGAGAAGTTTTCATACACAGCAACATTGTTCAATTTTTCTCTTATAGACTTTTTGTTAAGTAAATAAAGATTGTTCTTTCTAAAACCAAAATCTAATTACTATGTGAATCACCTCAGCATTTCCACTTATAGTTTTTTTTTTTAATTTATTTTATTTATTTATTTATTTTTGGCTGCGTTGGGTCTTCATTGCTGTGTGTGGGCATTCTCTAGTTGCTGTGCGCGGGCTTCTCACTGCAGTGGCTTCTCTTGTTGCAGAGCATGGGCTCTAGGCGCACGGGCTTCAGTAGACATGGCACACAGGCTTCAGTAGCCATGGCACACGGGCTCAGTAGTTGTGGCTCACAGGCTCTAGAGTGCAGGCTCAGTAGTTGTGGTGCACGGGCTTAGTTGCTCTGCGGCATGTGGGATCTTCCCCCACCAGGGATGGAACCTGTGTGCCCTGCATTGGCAGGCGGATTCTTAACCACTGCGCCACCAGGGAAGTCTCTCATCTATAGTTTAAATCAGGATTGTAATGATATTTGAGCCCCTCCAATAGAAACCAAGTAAGTCGTTTCTAAAGATACTGTGTAGCCCCAAATAAACATTTTTGATAAATATTGCTGACTGAATGCTGTGCCACAAACACTTTCTACTTCCAGCCAAGCAATCACCCATTTGGCACAAAATGAAATTACACGAGACGTTCTGTGTCTTAAAGATGGAAAACGTTTCCCTGTCTAATATTCTTCCAGGAACAAAATGACAATTATAACCATGATAATTATGACAAAGTCGCTTATTAATGGTGTACACATGAATTTGTTTCCAAATTTCTACTAATTGTAAAACAAAGAGAAATATCGTATGATATCGCTTATATGCAGAATCTAAAAAGAAATGATACAAATGAACGTATTTACAAGACAGAAACGGTCTCACAGACTTAGAGAATGATCTTATGGTTACGGTGGATGGGGGGAGGGGGGAGGGAGGGGATAGTTAGGGAGCTTGGGATTGACATGTACACGCTGCTATATTTAAAAAGGATAACCAACAAGGACCTACTGTATTTTACAGGGAACTCTGCTCAATGTTATGTGGCAGCCTGGATGGGAGGGGAGTCTGGGGGAGAATGGATACATGTATATGTATGGCTGAGTCGCTATGCTGTGCACTTGAAACTATCACAACATTGTTAATCGGCTATACTCCAATATAAAATAAAAAGTCAAAAAAATAATAAAGAGGCTTTTTAAAAATAAGATTGGGACAAAATGCTAACCACAACATATTCAGACATGCCAGAATCTGAAAGCTTAAGGCTGGAGGCCAGCAGACTCACTACTGCCATGTTCCCAGGTTTTAGCATCTTCCTATCTTCTCCCAACTAAATCTTCATGAGGGTGTTTCCTATAATGACGATTACATTGAGATTAAATACCACCCCCTACAATTTTAACTTGGAATATTGTGATGCGATTTCTGCATTTTTGTATCACGTGACAGTGGCTCCTCCATGGCAGATGACAAAAATGCCTTTCTCCCCGATTCCATAAAAGAAAAACTGGCCATTAACCTGGGACTCTAGCAAGGCATTTAGCAAGGCCTCTCATAATATTCTGTGATCAAGAAGAAAAATATAGGCTAGATGATTATACAATTAACATGATTCATAGCTGGCTGAAACAACATACGCCAAAAGGTGCTAATTAATTAATTAATAAAAGATGCTAATTAATGGGCTGATATCAAGCTGAAGAAGCTTTCCAAATGTTCCAAAGTACTTTGCCCTTTGCCCAGCCAGTGCTGCCTGTAAATTATCAATAACTTGGATGAATATGTAGGATAGTTATCAAATGTATGCGTAAGACTCAAACACATTAGAGCACCGAGTTAGGACCTAAAATAATGAAGTAATGGGCTAAATCTAATGAGATAAAGTTTAAGTAAGATAAATTAAAAGTTCTGTACTTTGGTCCAAAAAGATCTGCCCTGCTCAAGAAATGGGATACAGAGAACTGGACAGCTACATGTAAAAGAATGAAATTAGAACATTCTCTAACACCATATACAAAAACTCAAAAGGGGTTAAAGACCTAAAAGTAAGACCAGATACTACAAAACTCCTAGAGGAAATCATAGGCAGAACACTCTGACATAAATTGCAGCAATATCTTTTTGGATCCGTCTCCTAGAGTAATGGAAATAAAAACAAAAATAAACAAATGGGACCTAATGAAACTTAAAAGCTTTTGCACAGCAAAGGAAACCATAAACAAAGCGAAAAGACAACCTATACGATGGGAGATAATATTTGCAAACAATGTGACTGACAAGGGATTAATTTCCAAAATATACAAACAACTCATATAGCTCAATATCAAAAAAACAAACAACCCAATCAAAAAATGGGCAGAAGATCTAAACAGACATTTCTCCAAAGAAGATATACAGATGGCCAACAGGCACATGAAAAAATGCTCAACATCGCTAATTATTAGAGAAATGCAAATCAAAACTACAATGAGGTATCAGCTCACACTGGTCAGAATGGCCATCAACAAAAAGTCTACAAATAATAAATGCTGGAGAGGATGTGGAAAACAGAAACCCTCCTACACTGTTGGTGGGAATGTAAACTGGTACAGCCACTATGGAGAACAGTATGGAGGTTCCTTAAAAAACTAAAAATAGAATTACCATATGATCCAGCAATCCCACTCCTGGACATATAAGCAGAGGAAACCATAATTTGAAAAGATACATGCACCCCAATGTTCATTGCAGCTCTATTGACAATAGCCAGGTCATGGAAGCAACCTAAACATCCGTTGGCAGATGAATGGTAAAGACGATGTGGTACATATATACGATGGAATATTACTCAGCCATTAAAAAAGAATGAAATAATGCCATTTGCAGCAACATGGATGGACCCAGAGATTATCATACTAAGTGAAGTTAGCCAGAGAAAGACAAATATCTTATGATATCGCTTATATGTGGAATCTAAAAAACAAATGATACAAATGAACTTATTTACAAAACAGAAATAGACCCACAGACATAGAAAACAAATTTATGGTTACCAAAGGGGAAAGGGGGGAGGAGGGATAAATTAGAAGTTTGGAGTTAACAGATACACACTACTATATATAAAACAGATAACCAACAAGGACCTACTGTATAGCACAGAGAACTCTACTCAATATTTTGTAATAACCTATAAGGGAAAAGAACCTGAAAAGGAACATATATACACGTATAACTGAATCACTTTGCCGTACACCTGAAACTAACACAACATTGTAAATCAACTATACTGCAATTAAAAAAAAAAAAAAGAACGGGATACATAGAATTTTGTTAACCAGCTACATATGGATGTAGCAGTTAAAAGAAGTCCATTTAAATAGTAGGCAGCATTGTAAGAAATAGATATTTATTGGGTAGTAGAAGGAACATTGGTTCCGGCATCAGCAAACTAGGTCAAATCCCAGTTCTGCTACTTTGGCTACTTAAACTCTGTGATCCTTACTTCCTTCTCAGGGTTGTTGTGAAGTTAAAATGTGTTAACATGTTTAAGTTCCAAGCACTTGTGTGCAATCGATATGTTCTAGAAAAGTTACCATTTACAGTAAAATAGGTGGCCACGCCACTCCATTCTGTCCTAGAAAAAATGGTGCTTGAATGAATTCCAGGTGCCACACTTACAAGCAAAGTGGAGCTACTTCCGGAGACAGTGAGCAGGATGGATGAGCAACTCCAGAGAGACCACGAAAAACTGCTGCAGGAACTTGGAATAGCTGGCTTGAAAAATAGTGGATCGGAGACCCTATCTATTGGTATCTGATGGTGTGCTGCATGGCCTCCCAGAGGGCTCCAAGATGGGAGAACTAACCTAGAAGATGGAAATTACAAGAATGTGGGCCAGGGTGACCACTTGGTGGGGATGTTGTGAGCAATTTCAGCACAAGTGGATGGCTGGACTACATGGCCTTTAACGAGACAGTCTGATTGTCATATTTCTATGACACTTAGCATGAAGTGGTTCCTTCTAATTTCTACCTCAAAGTAATGCAGAGTCTCCACTATCTTGAGTTGGGCTGGTTTCTAGCTTTTCAAGGATACCACCCTCCCACCAGCTCTTATTTCTAAATCTCTGATTTCTCCAATGTGCCTTCTTTGACCAGTTTACTGTTGTTCTGTATTTTGTTTAGGAATTTCTGGTTACTTTAAATGCCATCTTTCCCGGAACTATCCAAAGGACACAGAAGGGGTCATTTGTGAACGCTTTTTGGGAGATGGACCAGCAAAACGTGATGTTATGGTTGCTGAAGTAAGAAGGTAAATGTGGGAATTAATCTGAACTGAGCTCCAGAGTTGGAGCTGTGGACCAAGAAGTGGGGTGGGTGCCAGACACCAGACAAAGCTTTTACTGAGAATTTAGCGTATTGGAGAGGAAGCAGAGACCAGAAGCCTGGAGCCTGCTGGCCTGCAAAAAGTACTCAAAAGTTGTTTGCTCACCAGACGACTTCTGTTTTCCAGAGGCAAAATGAGGCCTGGGCAGGTTGCTCAGCATCTCCAGCCTGTTCCGGATTGTAACTGGGAAAGCGCCTAGGGCAACCGCAGAGGCTCTTCGCCTCCGGCCGGGTCAGACCCGCCCGCTCCTCTCCCAGGTGACCCCAAGGAACCAATTTTTTTTTTCCAGGCGCAAGTGGAGGGGAAAATTGGCGGCGCTCCGGTTGCCAGAGACGCCGCCGCCACTTCGGCTCTGCTGGGGTGAAAGAGGACGCTGGGGGGAGGGGGCCGTGGCTCCTGACTGGCTGGGGCACGAAGGCTTATTTGCATAATATTCCTTGATTGGCTGAAGCCGGAGGGGCGGTGGTGGGGTGATTCCAAGGGCCTGGAGCTCTGGCTCCGGACCTTTCCGTTCAGGAGTTACCCGGGTGGGCGTGAGTTGTTCTTCCGGCCCTGCGGGAGCCGAGAAGGCCCGGTTTGGGAAGTTTTGCAAGCAGGTGCATGAGCCATCTTTTTCTTATAGTGTTTAAGAAATGTGAAAGAACAGGAGTCAAGAAGCTGGGGGATGGAGAGTGACCTCGACACCAGAAGAAGGAAGGAAACAGACCGGGGAGGAGTGGAGGCCAAAAAGAAGGCATTAGGGGCTTTCTCCCAAGCTGGGCTTTTTTTGCTGGGATCCCTTTGCTAGATCACTTGAATTTCCGTTTTCTGCGAGTCATTATCACACTTTGCTGAAACTGGGAAGAAAAGAGGCAGGATCCCGGCATTTTGTAACTCAGATTTGAATACCAAGTTTTCATCAGAGGTATACGGACTTAAAATATCCAGAGGGTCTGCCATGGGAGACAAAATACGTTTTAATTTATAGAGAATCAGTTGTTGGAAACTGGATGTGTGTGTGGTTTTTTCCGAGATTACTTCTTGCAATGTTTTTTGTATGTCATGGCACATAGGGCTTAAAATCAAGCTGGACTATTTTGTACTTGCCGGTTGCTGAAGCAATGGGGGGGGGGTCTGTGGATCATCATAGACCATTTCCACATTTTAAGGTTTCTGACTCTTCACATAAACACCTTTAGACTATGATAAGATCCTACATAAAGTACAATTTCATCTTTGTAAAGTACTTTGTATTTACATAATAATTTGTACATCTATTATCTTATTCACCACAAATCTGGCACAGCCCATGGGATAAGCTCCATTTTATTGATAAGGAAACTGGGGCTGGAAAAGTTTGCAAGTCTCCACGTGTGTAAAGAGGGGGGTGAGATTATTTTAATGCTTGAAATTTATATAATGCTTTTTTGGCTCTATATTTTCCTTTCCATTGATTCTCCCAAAGCCCCTGATAGGTTGAGCAGGTAACATGATTCCAGTTTTTCTAGATAAGAAAACAAGGGCTATGACCTAGCAGAGCTAATAAGCCCTGGGAAGGGGGCTCCCCAGGCTGAGCTCTGTCTCCATAAGTCACTGACTCCTGTCCAGCCCTTGTCACACCAAGTCACAGTTTCATTCAAAAGACAATTAGGAAGATGGTTTGCTGTAGGAAAAAATTAAATATATATTATTAAGGTGAAAGAAACAGGGAAAAAATAAACCTCTTATTATGTGCTTCTCCCTTTTGGCACTTTTTGTCCCGTGAAAAAACAGTGTACTGAAAACACCCCTGAAAGGTTTTGGAGAAAAGAGATTCAAAATTAGAAACTTGAGTCTTCTTGAATTATCTGTAGGACTGTTGGAGAAGGTTGGTGTGTGAAGGACAGACATGGCATGGGGATTGAGACGGTGAAACAAAAATGAAAACAGGCTGTGGTTTGGAGTCTCAAAGTGAAATTGAAGGTGCAAGGCTCTTAAAAGTTAAATCCAGCGATTTGGTACCTACTTTAGGGCCTATTAAATGACCTTGCGTTTTAAGAGCTATTTTTGGAAAGGTACATTTCAAACTCCCCTCCCAAAAAAAATATTGGACACCTCCTCCCTTTTCTGTTAAATGATTAAAGACACCCAACACCGGACCTACCTACTGTCACTCTGTCCTGGCCCTTTGGCAGCCAAAAGGCCACAGGGCCTGGGGCCTGGGATCTCTGAGTAGCGGGACTTGGACAAAAGTCAGGAATTTGGCTGCTTCACCGCATTGTCACATCTGATCTCTTGGAAAAATGTGCAGATCCGATTGTGGGTCGCTCTTCATCCCTGGCAAAGTCTGTTACAGGAAATATTGGGGAAGACATCGCCAGCAGGGAGACAAAAGCCTCTGAGGTCCCCCTCCCCCAGCAGCTGGCCAAGGCCAGGGCCACGGCGGGAGCACCACACGTCCACGTGCACCCGGCATGCCCAGTCACCCTTCTTACGTAAGAGTCTTGGGATGGAGTTGCTGCTGCTGCGGGTCCCTCTTCCCCGACGGCTATTAATAAACCGGATCGGTAGTTTCCGGGCCACTGCCAGCATAGATGCGGGGTTGGGGGCCTCACTTTACAACCTGGGCGCCAGCACTTCGGTCATCCCACCCTGGGAGCGTGAGCAAGGCGCACCCATCCCCCCGCACTCCAGCCCGCCCTCTTGCGGGACCGGACGCCGGCACCTTCTTTACCCGCACTGTGCCTGGCCCTCCCCCCAAGCTGGCCTGCTCTGCACTCGGCGATGGCTGGGTGCGGCTGTTCTGTCCCTCCTCTGCCCTGCCCTGCCCTGCTACTGCGCCCTCCCTCCGCCCGGGTATCAGGCGAGAGGCGGGGCTGGCCCGGCGCGCCCCGCCCCCGCTGTAGAAAGGGCCTGGAGTGTTACTCGCGGTCATCCCCAGCTCGGGCCTTTTATCTCCGCGCTACCGGGGAGGCGGGAGGAGGAGACACGGCGAGTGGCCCTGAGCGCCGGCGACACCTTTCCGGGGCTCTATAAATTGAGCACCTGGGATGGGTAGGGGGCCGACGCCACCACCACCGCCCGCAGTCACAGTTCGGCCACTGACCGCAGCAGCGTCCGCAGGCAGCAGCATCCAGCAGCGGGAACACTGAGCTACCCAGCAGCAGGGGATCTCGAGGCGCCGGAGGAAGTGCGTGCCCCCGCCCCACCTCTGCCCCGTCAGCGTGGGTGCTTGGACTCAGGCTTTGCGGAGGGAGACGGGAGTGGGGAGCACCCCTTCCTTTTCTCCGCGGCCCTGGGCGGGGGGCGAGGAGGTGGGACTCCTGCTGGGAGTCACCCGGGAGCCGTCCCAGACAAGCTGTAACCAGGGAGGGAGGTGCGCGCGGGTGGGGGCGCCGGGCACCCTAGCCGCGTGAATAATCTGCTCTTTCGTCCCCGTCTCCCAACCAGGCCAGGGCTCGACCCAGAGACCACGCGCCGATATCGCGAGCTTCCGGACGCCAGAGCCAGGAGAAGTCGTGCTTCCCGCAGGGCCGGGCTTCGATCTAGACGAGAGTTGGAGAGGGCGGAGGAAGCCGGGAATCCCGCCGCACCGGCTGTAGCCAGGCCCCCGGCGCGGGCCTCAGAGAGCGCGTGAAAGGCGTACAGCCCCTCGCCCCGGCCGGCCATCCCGTGCCCCCTGCGTCCCTGTGCTTCGGCGCCCGCGCGGCCACCATGATGCAGGTTTGCGACACCTACAACCAGAAGCACTCGCTCTTTAACGCCATGAATCGCTTCATCGGCGCCGTGAACAACATGGACCAGACGGTGATGGTGCCCAGCCTGCTGCGCGACGTGCCACTGGCCGAGCCCGGGCTGGACAACGGCGTCGGCGTGGAGGTAGGCGGCAGTGGCGGCTGCCTGGAGGAGCGCAAGCCCCCGGCCCCCGGCGCGGGCGGCGGCAACGGCAGCTTTTTCGCGCCCTCCCGGGACATGTACAGCCACTACGTGCTGCTCAAGTCCATCCGCAACGACATCGAGTGGGGGGTCCTGCAGCAGCCGCCGCCGGCGGCGGGGAGCGAGGAGGGGAGCGCCTGGAAGTCCAAGGACATCCTGGTGGACCTGAGCCACCTGGAGGGCGCGGACGCCGGCGAGGAGGACCTGGAACAGCAGTTCCACTACCACCTGCGCGGGCTGCACACTGTGCTCTCCAAACTCACGCGCAAAGCCAACATCCTCACTAATAGATACAAGCAGGAGATCGGCTTCAGCAATTGGGGGCACTGAGGCGGGTTGCCCGCGGCTGCCCAGCACCCTTCCCGGCCCCATCTCTCACCCTCTCTTTCCTCAAAGCTATTTTCTTTCTGGCTCTAGGGCACGATGGGCAAACTGCAAAGTTGGGGGGCTGCGTACGTGCAGGGGACGCGGCAGGGCTGCATGGAGGAGGGGGCTTCTTTGGGGAGAGGAGAGGAAAGCGGTGGCAGAAGAGGTGGGGTAGTGCTCAAGGATTTCCCTCTCTCCCGCGGGGGTGGGGAGGGGGAATGAGGGGGCTGTGTTCTACTTTGGTGGGAATAGGACTGAGTTGACGCCCTGCATTCAGTCTGTGCTTTTCCTGGAGTTTCTTTTCTGTTCTTTCCGGAGGAGAAGGGCCGAGAAAGAGCCATTCCAGGGCGCGGCGCTGGGTTGCCACATTTGGGAGCGCCGCCTGGAGTTGGGCGCTAGGGAAGGCGGGGCGGGCGCACAGCCTCCCGCCGCCCTGCCGTTGGGCTGGTGGAGGCCGCAGCGCTGCTAGGGTTGCATCAGTTTTCCTGTTTGCACTATTTCTTTTTGTAACCGTGGCCCCGTCTTAAGTATTTCCAATCTCCTCGCTCTGAAACTTCGGCGATTCCATTGTGGTAAGCGCACAAACAGCACTGTCTGTCGGTAACCGGTACTACTTTATTAATGATTTTCTGTTACACTGTAGAGTTGTCCTGTGGTACCCCTATCCCATCCTTTTCACACCACCCCCTCAAAGTGTGTAAGCTGGCACTGTGCCAGCTCGTACGAAGCGTGCCACTCAGTGAAAGTAATGTTATTATGGGAAAGCGGACTTACCCGAAATGGAACCAACTGACATTCTATCCGTGTTGTACATAGAATGATGAAGGGTTCCACTGTTGTTATGTGTCTTAAATTTATTTAAAACTTTTTTAATCCAGATGTAGACTATATTCTAAAAAATAAAAAAAAGCAAATGTGTTAACGAAATTTGACAAAAGTTTGTTGCTTTCTAATCCACCAATGGATGGCTTAGTAGTTAAATAAAATACAGTTAATTGATTTTTTTTTTTTAGCAAAAACCAATTTCATTTTCCTCTGGTATTTCAAAGTGGTAGATAATCATCTCCGTAAGTGTTCAGTTTTGTTTGGGAAGAAGCTACCAAGCTTTTTATTTCTAATTCAGTACCAAGGTAAGCACATAACATCTCAACAAAAAGTTCATAAATATTCAAAGAATTTGGGAAGGTACATATATTACAGTTTTCAACCAACTTGACTAGCTTATTGGAGTGCTTAGTGAACATTTTGAATCTTTTAAGGGGCTCAAGCACGACCTATGCATTTTGAGGCCTAGAAACTTATTTTAAAGGCAGAAATTTCACTTGGCTACTGAGAAGTAAAGAGTCGGAAGAAAAACACCAGATAACACTAGTGCACGCATCTTGCAGGTCTTTATTTACAAGTCTTTTGCGTTAATCTTAGGAGAGACTTAAATGTGTTATAACATGTGCTGTGGCCTCTTTGACTAGTTCCCAGTGAAGTGCTAAGCTTTGTTAAGCAGTGTCCAGCAATGCTTCCAGTTTTCCAGGGAGCCAGTCTGCCGCTGTGGACAGCAGATCTGAGCATGGCTGCAGTAGGGCCCTTTGGAACACTTCCTTAGATGCCATTATGATGCTTTCCTGGGAGGGTGGGACAGGTGAAACGCAATGCTCTGTATTTCTCTATTTCGTGATTCGTTTAGGGGGGATAAGTGTTGGATCGACTTCAGTTTTCGATCTTGAAGTCATGAGACATTCTCTAAGCTCATAGAGCTTGAATTTAAAATACATATAACTTTGCAGTTTAAAAAAAAAAGGCAAAAAGTTTTTTTGTGCTGTGGGCAGCTCAAACCTATTATCAGCTTTTAGCAGCAGTGAAAAAATGGGGAAGTGTTAAGGCTGGTGCCTGTGCTCCCAGAGAAAGTTATAAGCTAGGCAGCGCCAGAAGTAAGGTGTATGGCCTCTTGCCCTGTATCCCCTTGAAAATCCCAAAGTGCAAGCAAAAAATACAAAGGAAGGAAACTACAGAAGCCACATGGTAGAAACGCCAAGACTTGGAGCCAGAAAGTTGTGTGTTCAAGTCCTCTTGTTATTACATATTAACTGTGAGACTTTAACTCCAAGCTTGTTGCCACATTTGAAATTAGGCATAATAATAACTACAAGGCTTACTTTGTGGAGATGCAGTGAGTGAAAGGAGATGGTATATAGAATGTCTGATGCTTAGAAGTTTCTTTAGGTGCTACTGAAGGGCACTACAGGTTCTCTCCAGCTCTCTGAACGTGGCTTGTATCTTTATCTCCCTCCTTGCCTTTCTCCAGGAATATATGAAGTTTAGGACAATATGTTCACTTTAAAAGCATAATTTCAATTACATACATGAAACCACAGGTAAACTATTTCCTTTCTCAAAGTCTCTGGGAAGAAGCTGAATTAAAATCAAATAGTCATAGTTTGGGCAAGCGATAGCAAGAGTTTTATGACATGTTAACACGATGTTTTCAGAACATTCTTGTATATAGAATACAGAAAGGTAGATGTTGATGGCAAAACCAAACTGTAAATAAAGCTATTAACTTTATTTTTTGAAAATATTCATGTGAGAGTATTTTTATATATAAATAGTGATTCTGACCTAGGAGTAGTGATGATCACTGTTAAAAGAGGATTGGATTTTTACATGAACCAGTAGCGTTTCCCAGGCCCAGTAAGTGTTATTCCACTGATATAACTATTTTATTCAAGTTAAGTTTATGCAATGATACAAAGTCAGATCCCTGACCAGATTTACCTGTTAAAACTTCTCAAGCCATTTAAAACTTTGCAACTTCTGAGGTAAAGTGATAAGTGACTTCATATTTTTAGGTCTTTCCTGAGGAAGCTCAAAGTACTTCATAGATTTTAAAAGTTGCAAAATTGTGTGGACCCTCCTTCAAAGAGCTCTCAGGGATCATGGTTTTCTGCAAGTGCCCATCTCCGTGGCAATTTGGGACGAAAGGGAAGGCAGGGATAGATGAGCTGGGCAAAGAGGAACAGCTTAGATTGGAGTTGATTACCCTCCAGATATTTACATTTGATAAGAATTTTCTACATCAAAACCTCACACCAGAGCCTTTGAGAAGGCCTGCGTTTGCCTCTAGAAACAGCTTTCTGCTTTGCGCACATGGGGCTTTTCGTGTTTTACATTTACACAGCGTTCCTTAGTGGTCTAGCCTGATTTACTCTTGCTCTGAACCTGAACCCATTGTTAGCATGTCACAGCTGCTGGGATTATCCTTCTCTGGACCAACTTGAAAACTAGTCTACTCTTAACAATGTTTTTAAAAAATGAAAGTTATTGTCATTTGCGTATGCCTCCTCGCTTTTAATTGCTGAACAAAAATCATTTGGGAGGCTCGTCTTCTCCACCCGCCTCCCCGCTCACGCCTTCTCCCCTTACTCCTGTGGTTCTGAGATGTTTCCAAATTGGATACAGTTCTGGTGGACTGAGGGCTCAAAGTTCATATACCTTTTTTCTTTTTCAAAGGTAATTATCTTTTTATGGGGCATCTAGTACATTTATACCAATCATCACATCCTTGGGTGATT